TGGTTCCTGGGCAGAGAGAGGGGGCGAAATCGACACTGGCGTGTCTCTTTAAAAGGAACCACCCTCGGTTGTTGGCGGCAAGGCGATCTGTGGCTTCGAGACCTCGAATGACGCGACTTGCCCCCATGCGGATTGTTCAGTCCGCACAGCGGAAATACCTACCGCCGGATCAATTGGTCCATCATCGTGTTATCCTGCCCATTTGAACCAAGGTAAACCCCTGTGCAATTGTTGCTCGATTCGGGATATCGCACAGAACAATACAGGGCGTATTTTTGCTGGGCATATCGTTTTACGGACGCAGCTCGCCAGGGTTGATGACTTTAGCCGATTTCAAAGGGTTCGACGATTCTGCGTGGATCTCCGCTCACGAGCTGCTTGTGAAAGAAAAATCAGCTGGTAAAGGGCCATTCAAAGCTCACTGATGCGGATCACACTCCGTCGAGGGAAAGCGATGCCCTGGTGGGCCTGGGCATAAGCAGTTTTTTTTCCCACTCGCCCCCAAAGAAAAAAAAACAATTTTGTTTATCTAGTAGGTCTGACTAGGGAGACTAGGTAGTCTCTTATAAACAGACGCTACAACAAAATGAGCTCGTACCTCGCTTGTTGTAGTCTGTCGTTTTGCCGAGCTGATTGATTGGAGGCCGAATGTGTTATGTAAGCAAAATTCAGTCGCGTCTTGAAAGTCAGTCCACGACGCGTCCTTCCCTCGTTTTGCATCGAAATCTTATTCATCTTCCCAACAGGTCCACCTTGCCCACCAAAATCTGAAGCACAACATGTCGGAATCCAGATGCCGAAATTTGATGAGCCGGCTGCTGCCGAGGCGCCGGGTCCGTGCCTCGTCCAAAGGGCTTCCGAGAAAACGGATCTGAACAAACAGAAGGATTTGGAAGGAGTATAAGACCGTTTCTAGCCCTTTGGATTGAGCATTCTACTATTCAGGGCGCTGGAACAACGGAAAGAAAGAATCAAAAGGTGAGCACCGCCACAATGTTTACATAACATTGTCGACCTCCAACCATCAGTGGCGCGGTTAACTTCAGACTAGAGACTAGGGCGAGGCAGGTTGTGAGCGACGCTTAGGCACCAGTACTACCGCACGGGGCTCCGACTTCACGCAAGTTGGGACAACTTAATTTGAATTAATGAAATGACACCAACTCAAAATAACCAGTAGTTGCGGTAGCGACCGTAGCAAGGGGTAGATTCGTTTGATGGGTCGATACCGTAGGTCACTGTTCGGACTTAGATCAAAAAACGTGACACATATACACAGCCAAACAGATTGAGACGCGTGTCGTGCACCAGCGCCCATGGCCCCTCTGTAGCTCTGAACTATGACTTCCTCATTCTGCATCCTAATCAGCACGAAGTCTTGTACTTCTACCTTTCAGCTACATCTCCTTGCCCGTCAAACACCCTTTGGCCTCTGCATGATGGTCGGATCGTGCTTTTACTCGACGACACATATGTGAATGGCAGATCAACGGCTTCCAGGAAGAGAGAGATCTCTTCCCTGTGCATTCTGCGCTGCCGCAAGCCCGTCAGAATCTTGGGACGCACCGAACCTAGGATACTTAGTGCGTCCTGGCGTAGATGCCGACATATGCCGGAAGATCTGACAAACCATGGATTACGTGCTTGTCTCGGACGACCCTCCGAATAAGGCAGGTCCTTCCTCATTTGGATTTCTTGCTTGCTAATGGCGACCTACGGTATTTTGGGCGCGAGTGCAATCAGACCATAAATAAGTTTTTTTCCTACCCGCTCGAAAAAACAAAACTCTAATTTATGGTCTGACTACGGGAGACTAAGCAAGGGGCGGACGGCATTCACCACGGAAGCAGATTGAACCGGGGACACAATTGTTACTGGTTTTCTTTGGGTTTTCTGCTTTTGCCAAGCTTTTGCTAGCGAGCGCACGCAAATTCAACGCGACAAGTTTCAGATGGGCGTTGAGAATTTCGAGAGATTTGAGGTGCCTAGCGAAGGCTAGCGTCCAGTTATGATCAAAACCAAGAAGATCGCGGGACGGAAGCAGATCGGACAAGAAGTCTGCTTGAGCGCAAACATAAAGAATTTGTGCCACGTTGGACTCGGAGGGAGCAGAGCCACAGTGTTCCTCGGTTTCTGTACACACACGCCGATTCTTAATTAGTCACGACTGCTAGTAGGATATCAGGCGAAAGAATCCATAGGCTTGAACCGCAGAAGAGTTGCGCAGGATTTATCTCTCGCAAGAGCCATTGCACAGGAGTCATTCGGCCACCACAATATGGATGTGAGTCCGGGTCGGGTCGTGAGGCCTCGAAGTAAGCAAGGTAGCCCTTCATTGGGGCAGGGTAAAAGTGACGTTGCGTGACGGCAGCCAGGCCGAAATTATCAGAGAGAATAGTCGTAAGCACTGAACAGTGCATGATGTCTTTGGGGATGTCTGAACAGAACCGCGGCAATTCTATGCTCCCGAAAAAAAAATCAAACTTCAACCAAAATTCACACGCACATCCAGTCGCTCATCGCTGCAGTCTAACGGAGAAATAATCTGAAATAGCATTCAGTCATCCAAGTCACGGCTACAAGAAAGGAAGTAGAAGCAAATGGTCCAGTACCCTCATCTCCTCAAACAGCGTGGCTCGTCCGTCTATATCCCGGATACCGCTCCATGACCGAGCGGTCAATGGATTTAAGCTCTGGGCACGTCAGGCCGGCGAGTATCGGTCTGACTACGTTGAAAAGCGGGGTCACAATGGTCTCCACAATTCCTGCCAGCCCGGTCAACGCGTCCGGAACGAGGATTTGGAGCGTCTGGTATAGGAAGCAGGCCGCGTTGTCGCCCTCCAACAGCATCGCAGCGTTGTAGACGCCGCCCGTCAGGTTGTAGATGTCCATCGGCGCGTAGGTATTGACGCCGTTGATGTTGCCGCCAATGAGGAGGGTTTCCGGGAAGCGGGTCCACATGGCAAGGAAATCGGGGATGACGTGGACCGCGGTGTACTCGTCGAGGAATGGGCGGCGGTACCAGTTGTTGGGAAGGCGCTCGTGGCCTGGCGTGTATGACAAAGTCCCATTCGCGGAAGTGGTGATGGAGAAAATAGACTTGAGGACCTCTCCGTCGAGATAGCCGTTTGGGTGCTCGGCTGAGTGGTTCGACATCAGGGCGGGGACGAAATTGTGCGCGAGACAAGAGATCAACTGCGCACATAGGGTCAACACATTATTTATTAGCGAAACTTGTGGCGACTCACCATCTGTACTGGACCATAGAAAAAGTACGGATTCTGAGCGACGGACTGATGAAAGCGGTTGACCCTGTGTTGTTGGATGATACCGAGATTGTAGTCTGAGGAATTTCCGACGGGCTGTAGATTGTATAGGCCCTGGAAATACGAGAGCTGCACGTGGTAGTTGTCGCCGCTGTACGCTGCAACATTAGCTCCATGATGGCAACACATCATGCGACGTACTTGAACTGATAGTAGTCGCCGCGTACGACGGAGGAGTCGCTTTCGAATTGGTTGTGCGTGCCCGTTAGGCCGGTCGGGCGTCCTGTTCACGAGGGATGAGCGCCAATAAATAAGCCAACAAATAAACGCGCCTAGAATGCCGCCCAGAATTCCACCCAGGAAACTGGTCTTCGGTGGACCCCCGATTGAAAAAGTAAGGGTGGGTAGATCGGCTCCGAAGAGTGCGAGTATCGCGGCGAGAGTCGCAGTATCGAACCCGAGTCCGAAAACTAGTCGACGGAGTGTCAGTGGACGCTGGAAAAAGACGGGCAATGCTCACCGAGTTCGGAGTAATGGATAGCATCGGTGAAGGTAACCACGCCATTGTGGGGGATATAATTATGATTGGCCATTGCGTTCAGTCCCGGACAAGGTCCGCGGAGATCGCCGTCCCCAGGTGGCTTGAATGAATGCGCGCCGACAACATCGATGAGCTGCTCCGTACTGAATCCCCCGAGTGTGCGATTGGCAAGGCTGGCTGGACGTCCTTCGAAGTAGCTCGGAGGAAATGCAGCGCACGGATGCGAGACAACAGCCAGGGCGACTAAAAGAGACAAGGGATGCATGAGGAAGGATCGAGCTTGAACACAGACAGCGACGCGGCCGCTCTTAAAGGACGCGCCGGAAAATATGGGGTGCTTTAGAATTGGTGTTGGGTCCGCTGAATCCAGCGAATCGTTCGCTACGATTGCGCGCTCTCGGTGGAGCCCATCGGCACTAGAATGCTGGCGAGCACGCGGAAGACATGCCCCGGACCCCTGACAAGCACAGTCGACCGGGCGCAACGCCGAGATACCCGACACCACATGGCTGAAGCTTTATCTATGCATCCTGGACGCCGGTTTAAGAAGCGATCGGGGTGGCGTTCAAGCACAGAGGTGAATTTCGCCGTGGATTTAAGCTCGGCAGGAAAATTAGGACCAGAAAGGTACAAAGCCCTCCGGTCCGGCTCTGAGCAAGCTCCGAGTAGAAACACCGACATCGAAATGGGATCCCGAAGAGGCCGATGCAAGCCAGATGTCAGACTGCCATCGCCCAGCACGTTGCGGCAACAGGAAGGCCGGTGGCGAGCAACAATGTTGTTTGTGGCGTCTGCCCAGTAACACGCAACGCCCTCCTCCACCGTGCCACGAGAAGCAGTTGTTGAGGAGTCAGAGCCTCGGAGAACATGGGAGTCAAGAGGAACCGTTTTGTCAAGTGTGCGCGTGTTTATCCGGGATCTTCCGGCCCCCAAGATCGGCTTAGTCACTAGGCGTGATTTTCGTGATCGCTCACAGAATCAACACAGAATGGTGAAACACCCTACAGCACGCAAAATAAATTCTACCGAGGTCTTGCAGGGTCTATAGCTACCTAGAAAATCAGTCGGACAATCTCCCAAGTCCGTTTCCCCTTTCGACTTAGTGCATTTTTGCCAAATTAGTCTTTTATCGAACACGGCGTGTTTGAAACCGAAAAAAAAGGGTGCTGGACCCCGTAGAAGGGTGAAAAAGATGACCACCGCAGGGGTTGAACCTGCAATCTCCTGATCCCGAAATTACGTAATCAAATCACGTAATGCTCGTAGTCAGACGCGATGCCATTTCGCCAGGCGGCCGATGGAGTTGGAAGAAAAACATGTGATCATTGAGCGGCGCATAATTATTATCCTCAGTCATATCCTGCATGCCAATAGAATTCCTCTTGACCCTCGCTGTTAAGTTCTGAAGACTGAAGTGGCAGCTCGTGTGCCCAGTGCTCCAGCAATGCTCTCCCATTCGGAGAGTTTCGGCATGTTTGGCTCGGTCTCGGGCAATATAGCATTTGTCTCTATTTCCTCTGTTTAAAATGCCTTCCTGGGCCTTCGAAAAGTACTCTGCTCTGCTGCCAGCGGGGCTGGTCGGAGCAGCCTCTGGTGAATGACTTGGCCACTTGAGTCCGGCCGGAGGGGGACAGGTGATTGGTCGCAAGCCAAGCACTCTCTGAATTGGATATCTACGGCACAACGAAGCGAAAACACGTCCTGTAGTCCCTAACTGTAGCTCCCCGTTCTCTTCTAGCAGTCCGTAACTCAACGGCTCGAGCACTAGTATCGTCGACTCCCTTTTCATCCAATGCCTCATGGTTGAATTCAAGCCTGTTTCCAACGTCGATACCGGTCCACCGGAAATTCGTCTAGCCGTCTAGACTTCCACCAAGTCTTCCGTGACAACCACGACCGTCCCATCGCCCATCTCTTTGATGGCGGCGTCCTTGGGCACAAGATCCGGATGGTAGATGCCCTGTGCCGCAGCGAGTCTCGCGAAGCGCGAGTTGGGATCGGAGAGCAAAGCCTTGGGGGCATCAAACTCGGCGATGGACCCGCTATCCAGGACAAGAATCTGTCAAAACGATGTCAAGGCATGGGTTTCAGAATTGTGCAGTACACGCCTTATCGTAGTTGACAATGGTAGCTGAAATAGCGAGACATGTCAGAACGGCCTATACAGCGGTCAACGATACGCACATATACGATGAGCAACGGCGATAACAGTGAGGCCCTGCATCTGTGTATCAACGACATGGCGGATCTTTTTGTCTGTGATGTGGTCCATGCTGATGGCGTTCAGAAGACATCAGCGAGAAATGACCGCTGGGGAACGGTTAGACACACCTAGAAGTGGACTCGTCTAGAACGATGATCTTCTTTTTCCGAAGCAGAGCACGGGCAAGACAAAGTAGCTGCCTCTGCCCCTTTGAGAAGCTCTCTTCGTCGACAACAAGATGGTCGAGTTTGTCCTTCTAATATGAACATCCCGTCAGCATAGCGCACAATGAACAAAAGTTCTGAACTTACCAACGCAGACACCGTTTCGTGCATCTCCACTAGCTTGAGAGCGTCCCAAATCTCGGCGTCGGTGCGCACATTCGTCACGTCGAGGTTGTCACGAATCGAACCGTGCCAGAGGAAGGGGTCCTGTGTTACGATGCTGGAGAACCAACATCAAGTCATTTCCGGCCCAAGTCAGTATATGGCGAGCGCACCTCATCGATTCCCGCAGATGCTGGAACGGTACGGTGGAAATGTCGACCCCGTCGACAACAATCTTGCCTGTAACGAGGTGCTGGTCGATGCCGCGGAACAATGCCAGCACGGTACTCGACTTTCCAGAGCCAGTGCTGCAGGTAACAAGAAGTCAGGGAAGAATTATCAAGTTCGGGGACCGTTCTCACCGGCCACAGATACCCAACTTGTGTCCTGCTTGGAGCTCGAAGGAGACACTTTTGAGCGCCAGAGGGAGATCATCGCTATGATGCGAGCGTGTGTAAGCCAATCAACCCAAGCAAGGTGAACAATGCTCACCGGTATTTCATCGAGAAATTCACAAAAGTCAACTGTCCTGCGGTTGGCCACGACGAGTGATCAGTTGTCGCGACTGCCCTCCCTTCCGGAGGCAGCTCAGCGAATTCCTCGATGCGCTCAAGGGCAATGGACCCATTTTCGACCGCAGCGTACGACGTGAGGATGTGGGTCAGCGACATGCCAAGAGTGACCAAACTGCGAAACATTCAGCCCGAAGACAAGATGCTAAGAGTGTACGCACCGGGAAAGAGCGAGGCCCAAGAACGCAGCAGACGTCGTGCTTCTGAGCCGCACGGTGAGCACCGCGACGCTGCACGCAAGAATCGTCTGGAACCACAGCAAGAACACGTGGAGGAAGAGCTGGCCAGTGAGGCGATGATACATAGCTCCTTGAGACGCGTTGACGAACGCGGCGTTTTGTGCTTGGAAAAAGTGCTGCGCCCGATACGCGCGCACGGTAATAAGACCGGTAACAGTGGTACCGAATAAGGTGTAAAGCTGCGAGCAGGTGATGTTAGCTCTATATATACCCACCTGAGCACAGAAGCAAGACGCACCGGAGATTTTGATGCAGATTCAAGCCTGCGGAATTGCTAGGAAAAAAAATGGATGAGCACTATCCTTGTTTCTATCGCGGGCGTCTACCTTGCTCGTCGAAAGATAAAATCTCAGAAAGTAAGCCCCGAGGACAAGCATGGGAGGGGTTGCGAAGCTCAGCAAGGGAGTTGCCATCACAATGAACACAAATGTGCCGACTGTAGTGAGAGTGTTGATCGAGAAATTGAGGAACGAGAACGGGAACTCCTGATCGGCGACCTGGATGTCCTGAGAGAACCTGGCACAATGCTTGGATCAAAATATAGCCGCAGTAGACAGCGCGACATACCGGTTCAGAATCTTTCCAACTGGATTTTTTGTAATCCACGAGACCGGAGAGCCCATGATGCCAGAAAGTTCAGCCTGAAAGGACATCTCTTAGCAAAAAAAAAACTGCGCTATCCAGGAAGACGCACGCCGTGAATGTGAGGCGCTGTAAACCCAGTGAGGGTATAACTGAAGCAAACCAGGGTAATCCCCATCAAACAGAGACTGCAAGGTGCTCAGTTCGCAATCACAGTTACGAAGAAAAAACGTACGTAGCCGCGACAATAGCCCCGTAGCCAGCGACCCACAGCCCAAGGTGGCTGCCGTCTGAGGATGCAAGTACTGCAAAGCCCGGTCAGCATACGAATCAAGGCATATAAAGAAACACTCGCTCGACAAATACGCCGTCGCGAACACGCCGCTCGCGCTCCACAACGTAATGAGCGCGAACAGTCCGCACGCGCGCAGGACGCCCGTCATTCTGATGTAGAACGCGTACGCGCCCAGCCGGGACGACTGCTCGATCGTCCAGGTCAACTCCGCGTCCGCTTCCTCGTCAACGATAGTGGCCGCTGTGCCCGCCTCCTTGGAGGCCACTGTATGTCCGGCGCCAGAAACGCCGTTGGGGGAAGCCAACGCAAATGTCGCACCAGCGTCCCGCACCTCCTCAAAAGTGCCAAAGTGCGTCATCTCGCCCTTGTCCAGGATGATCACCTTGTCGGCGCTGGAGAGGTGGTGGACGCCGTGCGTAACGAGCACGGTAGTCTGTAGAGATACGGGGGTAAGTTCAGGGTGTACTTCTTGGGTTCCACATAATCACTGACCTTGCCTTTGAGCATCCCCTGCGGGCCGAAGAGCGACGCAAAGACTGGGGACAAAGTGAGTTTATATAAATTTGTCAACAGCAGTCGGTCGACATACCGTGCGCCTCCGTCTCGCCGTCCAGCGCGCTAAACACATCGTCCAGCAACACCAGATCGGCACGGGCATACACAGCGCGCGCAATGGCCAGTCTCTGGCGCTGCCCGCCCGAAAGCGTCGTTCCTGTTGCCCATTCAAATCTCACCCCCCAAACCCGAGGGAATGCACGCACCCTTGTCCCCAAGCTTAGTCATATCCCGCCGCGGCAGCGTCTCGATATCCTGCCTCAACCCACACGCGTGGATGACCTCGTCGTAAAAGGCCTCGTCCCACGCGCTGTCCAGGAGAATATCTGCAAACATTATTGTGAGTACACGCACGTTGAAAGTAAACTTTCAACGAGAGTCGCTTACTGGCACGCAAGGTTCCCGGGAAAATGAACGGTGTCTGGCCTGCGAGCGCAATCTACAACAGTAAAGCAGTCGCTCAGCGACATTATCATTAAAACCAGGAATTGGCGTACCTTCTGCGCCCGGACCTTTACCGTCCCCTCGACCAGCTTTGTCTCCCCCAAAATCGACATCAGCAAGCTTGATTTTCCCTGCGGCGAAATCAATCCGTCTCTGGAAGAATAATCGAATTGGAAGGAACGCACACTAGCCACGGACCCAACGACCATATGCAGCTCGCGCGGCACAAGCTCGAGGGAAACATCCTTGAGAACATGGGTCTTTTCGTCCCAGGCGAAGGTACATCCCTTCATTGACACTTCCACCTCACCCTCCATTACAACCGCCGGCGGCGCAGATGCTGACGTGGATGCCAACGCCGTAGACGACGGCACCTTCCCGTTATTCTCCTCGTTCACATCAACAAGCACGCCTACCGCTCCACCTTCTTCAACTTGCGACTGGGAAGCCACTGATTTTTCGGGGAGCCGCAAAAAACCCTGTATCCGCCCGAGCGACGCGAACGACGCGAACAAGCTGGGCAGCTGCTGTCCGATGCTGCTCAGCGGCCCGTTGAGTAGATTCACGATGGTGAAGAGGCTTTATGTTGGAGGTCAGCAAAGCTAATCAACACGATGAGATGAGAGGGGAAGAAAAAGGTCGAAAATATCGGAGAAGGAGAAGAAAGGAAGCAAGCAGAAGAAACCACGTACGTGAAAATCCGACTAACATCCAACGGCGGCAAATCGCCCCATCCTTTGGCCAGCATCACGACATATGCCGCCAGCGTCACCACAAACGACGCGCTTCCCCCGATATTGCTCAGCGTGCTCGCGAGGCTGATAAAGTACAGGAACGCGCGCAAGGCGGCGGTCTCGGCGCCGCGGAGGACGTTGATCTTGGCGGAGAGCGCAGACTCGTAGGCACCGAGTTTTATGGGGAGGAGTTGACCGAGGACAGAGGTCTGGGGTGGTGTAACCGGGTGCGATATGTTGTAGTCGACAGAGAGGAGGAAAAGGAGAAACGCACGAGAAGCTTAATCCGCCCATCCATGGCCTTAAGCCACACCTTCTGCGCCGCGCCGACAAAGCGGCTAATCGT